ATCCCATAAATTGAACATCTAACTAACTGTGCCTCAGCTGGCTATCATTTACCAAGCACTGTGCGTTGGAGTTTTGACTCACATGCGCACATGAAACTGCAACCATGAGTTTTTCTCCTTGACCTTTGTCATGCAAGCTTGCGGAGTCTGATGTTTGAGCCAGGATTAAGTTTCCCAATTGTACATCATATCATGACTTCATGTTTTGAATGACATATGCCCACATGTAATCCAACCAAGTGTTTTTCACCAATAACTTTTTACGTACATGTCATGCAAGGTTTTTAAGTGTAGCAAATGATTTGTATGAGTTATTTGACTCAGGATTCACTTACTCAAATGTACATCATATCACCCGCATCCACCAAGGATTGTGACTGCATGATTTGAATGACATATGCGCACATGTACTCCAACAAAGTTTACACTGGTGTAAGTTTTGAGCACTTGCCCTAATACAGGTATGTGGACCTTGCTTAGTTCTCATATGCAATGACTTTGTAGTTTACTTCCACCAAGTCAAAAGGAATTTATACATTGAACATCTAACTAACTGTGCCTCAGCTGGCTATCATTTACCAAGCACTGTGCGTTGGAGTTTTGACTCACATGCGCACATGAACTGCAACCATGAGTTTTTCTCCTTGACCTTTGTCATGCAAGCTTGCGGAGTCTGATGTTTGAGCCAGGATTAAGTTTCCCAATTGTACATCATATCATGACTTCATCATTTGAATGACATATGCGCACATGTACTCCAACAAAGTGTTTTTCACCAATAACTTTTTACGTACATGTCATGCAGGGTTTTTGAGTGTAGCAAATGATTTGTATGACTTTTTTGACTCAGGATTCACTTACTCAAATGTACATCATATCACCCGCATCCACCAAGGATCATGACTGCATGATTTGAATGACTTATGCGCACATGTACTCCAACAAAGTGTTTTTCACCAATAACTTTTTACGTACATGTCATGCAGGGTTTTTAAGTGTAGCAAAGGATTTGTATGAGTTATTTGAATCAGGATTCACTTACTCAAATGTACATCATATCACCTGTATCCACCAAGGATTGTGACTGCATGTTTTGAATGGCATATGCGCACATGTACTCCAACCAAGTGTTTTTCACCAATAACTTTTTACGTACATGTCATGCAGGGTTTTTAAGTGTAGCAAAGGATTTGTATGAGTTATTTGAATCAGGATTCACTTACTCAAATGTACATCATATCACCTGTATCCACCAAGGATCATGACTGCATGATTTGAATGACTTATGCGCACATGTACTCCAACAAAGTGTTTTTCACCAATAACTTTTTACGTACATGTCATGCAGGGTTTTTAAGTGTAGCAAAGGATTTGTATGAGTTATTTGAATCAGGATTCACTTACTCAAATGTACATCATATCACCTGTATCCACCAAGGATTGTGACTGCATGTTTTGAATGGCATATGCGCACATGTACTCCAACCAAGTGTTTTTCACCAATACCTTTTTACGTACATGTCATGCAGGGATTTTGAGTGTAGCAAATGATTTGTATGAGTTATTTGACTCAGGATTCACTTACTCAAATGTACATCATATCACCTGTATCCACCAAGGATCATGACTGCATGTTTTGATTGACATATGCCAACATGTACTCCAACAAAGTGTTTTTCAGCAATAACTTATTGCTAATGGTACATGACACCTTTCCTCATTGAGAGGTGTCACCATAGAGCTACTTGGCCTCATGATGACGCGCTGTTGGCATTGTGGGCCACCAGACACCTCATGCCAATATAATTGGTCAGTTGGCGGCGGGCTTTCACGTGGGAAACACTCAGATGTAATGTATGTGACACACATGTAATACCCGCTTATCGTTATTCCGCTCGATCGTTCCAAAGCAACCCTAATCGAAAAACTACATCACCCCACAAGTACGCCTAATCGTCAATACTCGCCAATATCCAATCCTGCAAAGGCAAGCTCATCCATTCATACATTAGGTTACAATGCCGCGCTTCGAAGGGAAACACCAGCCGTTCAAAGCGGCCAAACCTTATTGGCTCAAGCCCCCGAAGACGGAAGCGCAACAAAAGCATTTTGCCCGGATGGCCGCCGCGGTGAAAGCACGTACCCCTGGCTACGTTGTTATAGCCAACCCAATAGCAATGCCTGATATCGTTGTGGATCCAATCATGCTCGACCTCAATCATGAAGATGATCACCAACGACCCGAAACTCCCGATTTCATTGAAGATATAAGGCGTGCCCGTCTTGAAGATGAACGACAGCAGAGGGCACTTGCATTGATACGCGCGACTCAGGAGATGTTCTACGCTTACCTGGAATGTTATAGGTCTACCGCTGAATGGGGAGATCCGACAAAGTGGGACGTCGATCACAAGAGCGCGTGTGGATGTGCTCCCAGCACGTGGCGAACCAGGAATGTCGATATGGTCGACCTTTTATGTAAGTCTGGTTTGTCTTCAAGAATGTATTCATGAAGAGAAACAATCTCTTATCGCTCACTCATGTTTTGTAAACATAACCAATATGTCTGACGTAGATCGACGTAAGGTCGAGGTACGATTTTGTGGATGTCAGGAGAACGATAACACCCGACTAATCTACATGGGCTATATTGGAGGGTCTCCCAAATATCCCGAAACTGTGTTCTCAATTCGCCTACTTCGTTTTTTCCACATTATTTGGAAGTACTGTACCAGCCGGGTCGACCCCTGGACTCGTGCCCTGGATGAGTTTTTGGATGCGTTTAATCCCCTAATACTCACGAAAAATGAGCAAGTAAGTTATATTTGCAAACAATGGCATGAGTGATTTGTTCTGATGCTTGTAATACTCCTGGTAGCCTCGGCGATGGCAAACTCCATTCCGATGGGCGATAGATGCATATCGCAAGATGCTATCAGCGACCAAATCAGCGATTGACATGGAAATGTCACTCTCCCCTGCAGATAAACTCGCTGAGAACTGCCCTCGTTGTTTCGGCCCACCTGTTGCCAGTGTGATTGACGGGGAGCCTGACATCGTTGTCTGTCTGGATGGGAACTTTCAACACAGAAGGCATATGGTTGCAGGTCAAAGGGCAGCGAAGATCCCCACGATTATGCCTGAAAGTTTTCTGGCCAAAGAACAGGTCAGTCGAATGGAAGCGCACCTTGAAGGGGCCCCTGAAGACGATGCAGTAAGTTTATACGCTCACTCCAAAACCACCACGTTTAAAAAGCTGAGAACTCGATTTTCAGGAACCTTGTGCTGCCCAACACACGGCCGCAAATGATCGTCGAGGCAAAGGCCATTGGGCTGGATGCGACGAGACCGGTCTAATGGTATTGGTGTGTCGCCATGACCACCCCTTGAGATTTGCTAACATCGTCCAGAGCGGTGAAAAGTAAGTTGGATTTGTCTCATTTTCTCTCATTTTCTTTAATCAAATATTGGCCTATTGAAGCATCACTGATGCTGAATTAATTACTCAAGGCTACACTATCCTTATTGGCTAATCGAGTGGTTCCTTGGAATGACGGACGATCAGAAGATTGGATTTCTTTATGATATAGGATGTCAAATGGAAAAAGGTATTGAAAAGGTGAGTATTTCAATACATTGCATGATTCATCTGGTCGCTTTGTTCACTTGCGTGATCCTCCAGCGTGACATGTTCAACGAAGAGCAGCATTCGGGTCGATTGAAGTTTGGCACAAGCGTGTTTCACGCTTACGTGCATCGATGGGCGTGTCAGCTTGAATGGAATCCCAGACTTAACCTAGGATGGGGCCTTTCAGACGGCGAAGGTTCTGAACGGGTATGGTCTGACTTGGATCCACTGGTTAGTTCAGAGAGATACACCACAAAGCAGCATCGTGTGGATTCTATTCACATGCGCTCGACCCACTGTCGGACCAACCTTCGACAAACTGCTGGTAAGGTGGTTTGCTTGTAATCGGCATTTAAGAGTACTGACTTCTACTTACCTATCATTATTAGTGGTACATCTCAGTCGGAAGAGGAGTGAGGCCATCCAACAATTGAATGAGGCCGAAGAAGCGCTGAGGTCGCTTGCCATCGCCGATCCAACTCTTACTCCTGATCATTTCGAGGCCAAGTGGACTGAGCAGAAAGCACGCCAGCTTGATGTTATTAACGAGACCCAGAAACAGAAGAGGGAAAGGCTCAAAGTGCTGCTTGGTTTAGAAGAGGAGCTGGTTGAAGCCCTGTGGGTATCTCATTGATATACTGGGTTAAAATCGGTATCACCACTAACCTTTTTTATTTGTGTTTCAGCAAACGTCTCACCGGAATTCAAAGCCTGCGCAGAAGAGTACGCACGCAGGCTGAAAACATTGAACTAATGGCACTTCCAGGCAGCGTTGCTAGTATTGAGGAGCAAATCGAAGAAATGGCGGATGAACTAGGTGGTACTGAATTTCGTGACTTAGCTGGGGCCACACGTAAGTATAAGATATAGTTATGATTGATCAAAGCTAGGCTGATGTGTTATGTGTGAATTGCAGGGGATCAGCATACCGCACTACTGGCCCTATCTGTGGCGCAGGCGAAACTGTATGAAGCAAGGGTGGGCCTTACTGAGGCAAGGTTACGTCGACATCGTAACACAGGTGAGACAATCAAATATATTGGAGTGTTCCATTTGAGCTGACGCCCGTATTATTACAGGAGCCCAGCAACAGCAGTACATGGCACAACATTTAGGAGATAGGACGCGAGATGTGCGAACCAAATACAATTCGTACTGCCGACGTGTCGAAAGATACGGGGTAGATTTCTCAGACGCATTGCAGCCCGAAAAGCCTGACCTAGAGACCATCATGTCGATGCCATTGGACGACCCTTTTTGGAATCGTGGTGAAGTACCACCCAAAGAACGTGAAGGGGCGGAGAGAGATAGACTGGGTATTCAGAGCTTCTTATCGCGTCGAAGCTCTCAAGAAGAGCTTCGACGCATTGCGCGAGAAGTCCGCCAGATGACTGGATGGGCAAACTCGTACCATGGTCGCATAAAATCGCTGAAACAGCGAGTTGCGGCAGGTGCGTCTGGCATTTTGCTTTTACTAAGTTAGTCACAGCATACTGACCAACCCCTTTCCGATGCTAGCTCCGGTCGGGTCTATTCGAGATAGATTGACATGCCTATATAGCATAGTATCCAAGAAGGCATGTAAGCTTTGGAAGAAATGGGGTGTTGAGCTCAAACGACAGCTTCAAGAAACAAGTACGCTTCTTGTGAACACTCGCGAAATGGATAAAATTTTGAAAAAAGGCTTCGAGAAGGTAACTAAATGGACCGAAAAGTTATGGAGGAAGATGGCAGGTATTCAAGCCCAGGAGCCTAGTGAGTTTGAAGAAGCTGAGGACGAAGAGTACGATCAGTTGTATGATATGTTTGGTGAATTGATAATATGATATATATCTAATATATCTAAATGACACAATGATTATATGTTATATGTTATATCTATACTTTGATGAAAAAAATCTACTATGAAACAAATCTACTATGAATTTAACTATGGAATTCAACTATGATACTGGCTAGCTGCAAATGTATTCAAGTGTATTTTGAATGCCTTTTGAGATGAGAGTATGAAACGGGCACACCTGAGAATCTGGACAATCGCTCAGGTGTGCTCTGCTTGTGTCGATGACTTTGAGATGATTGAGTACATCATGTTTCTTTCAATCCAAAACAAAATCACCAACAAAATGGGGTGTAATTAATTCATCATCTCGGTACTTATTTCTCCTAAATTTCCCGCCTTTGTCGCGCAAAGTGAGCGAGAATGAGAAACCTTTAATAGGCTGGATTACAACTAATCAGATTCCAATAAATCGAGATGAACAGGGGTACGAGAGTACAACAGAGGGTATTTCACAACAAGTATAGGTATGATACAAGATTTGAACAAGGTGAAATGGGGAGTTAGCATGTTGTACCAGTCCTGTGCTACGGATAAAGATAGGGTGTGCCACTCTGGCCACGGCTCTGGGATAGGGAAGGTATTGGAAGGGGATGATAGAGAAACGGACAAAAAGTGTTTCCCATTGGGATCAAAACAAACAAAAATGGGGGGGGTATTGTTAGCCGGACAGTCGAGAGGCAGCGCTGCATGAGTATAAGAATCCGTATAAACACAAAAGACTCGTTTGTACGTGGTGGCGATGATATACGACATGCGAGCTGAATCGAGCCATAATGCTGGGGTGTCAAGTACCTCATGTCTCTGGGTTTGGAGGGCGGTAATGTGGTCAGCAACATCGCCGTCTCCTCGTTTCCGTTCTTTGAAGTAGTTGTTGTAGAAATCGGATTTTGTTTGGAGTTCCGCTATGAGTTCTTCTCGAACAGACAGCCATTCGTCTTCTGAACGGCCGAGACTAATTGCAATCGCACGAAATCCACAATGTCCATCTGGAACTGGGTCAGAGATCCTTTGGACATACTCGTGCAGCCAATGGGGAACTCGGTTGTCCTGGATGAGGTTGAAGATCAGCATCAAGTAATAGAAGTGGTGAATCTGAGGGGCCACGTACACACTTTTGTTGCGCCTGGGCGTGTCGACCTTGCAGATCGGCGGATTCCAGGTAGTGCTGGCGCAGGCAAAGGATTCTGCCTGGTTGAACGACGAATGCTGGTGCCTTTGTTGGGTATGGCCTCAGTGCTGGTCTTTTTTCTCTTGCGCTACATAAAATCATAAATAAATAAAGGTACAGAGTGTTCATTGATTTGAGTCGTGCAACGGACTCACACTCAATCAATTGGGCGGCTGGGATGTGGTCTCCTCATCTTGCTTTCTTGGACTCGTTAGGGGTGGTAGCAACGCGTCCAGGTCAAAGCTTTCCTCGGCATCGGGGGGGTCATGGTCTAAAAAGTTGACCGAGAGGGTGGGAAGGGAAGGCTGTGTTACAGAAGTCAATATTGTGGAATAGTGGGTGGATTCGAAAGAGTTGACTTACCGAGGGTGCAGGAGCTACCGTTATGGGTATGGGTGAAGGCTAGTCCATCTTTTCACATCAGCGTTGATATATGATACCACATTGAGTCGGTCACGACGTACAGATCTATTCTGGCTGTTGGGAGTTTCAGCGATAATTATGCTGCTTGGAGGCTACACGCAGTGAAGATTGGGATTGGTTAGTTCAGTTTTGTTTTGTATCGTGAATGCTAGCTCACCATTGTGTCCAAATCGTAATCAACAAGGCCCTTGTTGGGATCCGCATCAAAGGCTTGTGATTCGCGTCTTGGTTTCAGCAGTGCGTAGTTTGGTGGGATGGGAGGTAAGCGTGGTGAGTTGGCCACACCGTCACCGTCGGTTGAATAGTTGCCACGTGGTGCGACCGTGTCGTTTTCGGAAAAGTTACCGGGAGGAGGTGGTATTGAAGTTCGGGCTGGGAGGTCAGTAGCTTTCTTCTTCGTTTTCTTACGTTTTTTTTTGGCAACTGTTGGCATTGGGCTTGGGTTTGTATCCTTAGGCGGCTTTGGCGTCATGTGGGAGTGTGAATGAGAAAGAATCGATGGAGCGTGCAAATCGGTGAGTGGAATGGGACTCACTTCTTGTAACACAATAGGAGCTGATTGCAATTGTAATTGGGAACCGCTAGTTGGGAGGGGTTTGAACTGTTCCAGGACCTGTTTGATCTGGGCAAGTGCTTCGGTGCGATCGACAGCAGAAAGCTGTGATAGCTTGTTGGAGATCTGGATGAAAGATGGTTCCAAAGTTAGTTAGCACGGTGAAAATACATTATGATGAGATGGTGAGAGATGGTGACTGACGAGGGTTGAGCGTTGGTTGATGACAGTCTGACTCTCTATTTTGGAGTCAGACTGAGTCTGTAGGGGTGAAATGGTCAGCTGCGATGCGGATAAGGTGACCTACGTGAATGATAACTCACTTGTGATCCGATGGGACCATGATTGTGACCAACGTGTTTGTAATAGATCTTCCAGGTACCTGCGGGTGGTAGTGAGTTGTTGGTGACTCTCGCCTGAAGTTCGCTAGGGGTGTTAGAGGCTTGAATCTCGTAGGCATTGACGGCGAAGGGACAATCGGTCTTCTGGGAAGAAGAGTCTTGGGAAGGCTTCGTCCCAGAACGATGGCAGCAAAAGCGTATCTTGTTGTCCCCGGATGATCGAATGGTGATGCGGTAACCGTTCGCTTCTGCATGCGCTCGGACTTTCTCTTTCATGCTGGTTTGGTCGGACGCCTCGAGATCTAGTGGTGGTGGTTGTAGGCTGGCACTATTGGCGTTGAGCACCTTCGTAGGAGTCATTGTGGATGGATGAGGTGCTGTTGATAAATGGGATGGGAGGATGGAAGTCGAATTCGAATGGGTTGGGGGCGCGAAGTACAAGGGTAGGATTTTTGAGTTGGGTGGAGATAGGGTTGGGAGTTTGGGGATAAGGTGGAATGATAATACAGATCGAAAAGGGTCATGAGGTTACGTACTTGGGAGGGTGAGATGGGTAGCATGTAATGGGTATGGTGGGTCGGTGGTTTTGAATAATGTCAATCAAGATCAAAACCGGGGTGGTGGGTACTGCGACCCAGGTTGTGTATTTCGGGTGGGTAGATTGGTGTATTGTGGTGGTGTGAGGTTGATGAGGGGGTAATTCAAGAGGGGCGGGTATAGTGGTAGTTGCGCTGAGAGGTGCGGTGTGTTGTGTGGATTATAAACGTGGTGGGTTTGAATTGTGGGGTGGTTGGTTTTCTTCGAAGGGTGGTGTGATTTGTTCTAGGGGGTGTAGGGGTGGGAGTGGGTTCTCGAGTTGGTGGTGAGTCTCCCTTAAGGGAATGTTGACTTAGCCGTTTCGAGGTCACTCGAAGATGCATCCTAAGATGCAACTTCATCTTAGTGCTACAAAGTCAAATACCATTGGGTGATAGGTACACCTGTATGCCCCAATGGTATTAGGTAAGTACCTAAGTGCTCAGGTGTCTCTGATTGTGTTTGAAGAGGTAGGAATTTAGATATATGTGGTTGGACCGGAGTTGTGTAAGCGTCGCGCATTCGTGCTTGCTGAGCTCTCGTAACGCCTTGATGTGTTTCGTGGGTGTGGGCTGGTGTCCTAAGCGCTTGATGTCGCTTGAACTGAAGTTGTTGTTGTCGAGTTTGGACCAGGCTTTGATTGCCGTTGTGAACCCTGCTAGTGTGGGCGTAGACGTGAAGGTACTGGGTAGTTCCCTTTTCGCCAGACTATTAGCTATTTTGTCGACTGTTTCATTACCTTTGATTCCGCAGTGTCCGGGACACCACCGAATTGTGACCTTCAAATCGTCGAAGGCGGCTTTGAGATACATGAGGAGTTTGATCGTCTCTTTTCAATCCAATAGGGATGCGACGTTGGAGGGGCAGGTGGTGAGGTCCTTGATGACCGATTGGTTGTCAAGGATGATTGAGACACGTTGTGTTTGAGGTGTTGCTGCTTGCAGAGCAATTGCGAGTCCGAGTTGTACTCATTTGTACTCCGCCTGATAAATTCCGTGTAGTCTAGCTTTGCCTAGATGTTGTGCAAGAGATCTGTTAGTGTTTTGGCACCACGCGGCAGCCGCCGTGTTTTTTGAGGGTATTCTGGAACCGTCCGTGAAGATGATGAGGTGCTGATTCGTGTGGCGAAGTCGATTTGTGCCTTTGATGGCCATGTCTTCGTTATCTTGAATCATTGTTGAGTAATTAGTTGGTTTGTCGAGTGGTGTTGTGGGATCCACAGGGAGCTGAGTGGTGAATTCTTCAAATTCTTCTCCCAACCTGTGCTGAAAGAACTGATGAAAAATGTTGCGGTGGTAACGTGGCTTGGATGATTGTGCCTGCTGGACAAAGGGGAACAAGGGGTGGTGACTAGGCTTTGTGAGAGACATGGCAATAAAGTTCATGATCTTAGCTTTTAGGCGTGTGTCTGGGCGGGTGAGGTTCATATCGTGTTGTAAGAAAACCTTTGGGGTTGATTGGAGGGCGCCGAGCGCCGCTCTCGCGCATGTGTTGTCTATGGTGGTAAGGTGAGCTAGGAAGTAGTCTTGCGCGTCGAAAGGTGACCAGGCTGCGGCTCCGTAATCTGTAGCTGCGTGCACAGTTGCTGAGAGAAGTATCCTCATGAGATGAGGTGGGATACCCCACTCGAGTTTAGTTAGTGATGCTATGAATCCAGATCGTTGTTTACCTTTGGCCACGACATCACGGCGGTGTTGGGCAAATTTAAGCTGTTTGTCGAGTGTTACTCCCAGCCACTTTGTGCTTTCTTGGGGAATCAGGCCCTTGCGGGATCCGAAATCGATGGTTGGGGGTTTGGTGATTGTGCTCGTACTGAAGATCATCCAATTGCTCTTCTTCACGTCGAAAATAGCACCGTGGCGCTCTGCCCACTTCGTTTGTCTGAACGTGAGAGTCTTCATTTTGGATTGGAGTTGATGTGGATTGGGAGCCGAAGCCAGTAGTATGACATCATTGATAAAACCAAGAGCTTCCGCCCACGGCATGGGGTTAGCAATGTCTAGGAGGGAAGAGTTGTAGATGAGATATAAAAGGGGAGATAGGGGTGACCCCTGAGGTAGGCCGTGATTCAGTTCAAAAGGTGATGACTCAAAACCATTGAATGTCAGGCGTGTTGATCTTGACGATAAAAATTCGTTGATAATGTTGATTGTTTCGGAATGGAGACCAATCTTCTCCAGCGTGTCTATGAGTCGGGGGTGGTGAACTGAAGGGAAGGCTGACTTCACGTCAGCAAACATGGCACCTACGATGTTCCCTTTTGACCATTCGGCTCGGATGTAAGCCACCAGATGGACTAGCGCTTCCTGACTTGACCTGTTAGGGCGTCCCCCATAGTGTCCTCTATTGAGTAATTGTTGTTTCTCGATTTGTTGTGATAGGTGTCTTGTGATTAGACTCTCGTACATCTTGCTGATTGTGTTGAGCAATGCAATAGGTCGATACTCTGAAGGTGATGTGTAATCTGATTTCCCAGGTTTGGGAATCATGATGGTTTTTGCCTCCTTCCATCGTGAGGGAAAGATTCCTGTAATAGTAACACATTGGAAAAGGGTAAGGACGTGTCTACGTACCACTGGCCACAGGGTCTGCCAAACCCAGTTTTGAATGCCATCGTTGCCTGGGGCCTTGAGTGGGGGCGCTGAGCTGATAATGTTGTTCAGGGAGTCTTTGTTGAGGGAGTCGAGGATGCGAGGCATGGTTGACGTCGTAGGTTTGGTGTCTTCTGTAAGTGGGAATTCAAGTGTTGCCGTGTCCTGTAAATTACAAGGGGCTGTCGCCACGCATGTTGCGTTGAACAGAGCATCAGCCTTCTCAGCATTCGACGTACACGTGGATCCGCCTGAGGTTATTAAAGTGTTGATGACCGATGAGGGTTGTCTTCCTGATGCGTATTTCTTAGCTTGAAAGAGGGTTTCATGTGTGAGAGTTGAAAGGTAAGTGCGCCAGTTGTTCTCTTTTGCTCTTTCGACTGCTGATTTGAATCTGTTTCTTGCTTTCTTGAAGGCAGTACGATCCTCTTCGTTACACGTCTTCTTCATGATTTGTTCGGCTTTTAGTGCTTCTTTCCGCAGTGGGTCCCACCACTTCTTGTGTTTACCCGGTGGTGGTTTCCACGGAGAGTTGGAATCCAGTGCCGTCGTGATGGCGTCAATCAGTTTCTTGTCAAAGTCCTTGATCTTTTCACGTGTTGTTAGGGGGTGAATTTCTGGTAAGCTTAGTTGGACGTCGGTTTTGAGGGCTACCCTTTCCACTTTCTTCCAATTTTTCCGGGTTCGTGCTTTGCCAGTGTTGGTGTCAGTGGGGTTCCTGCGTGTTAGGAAAGTAGTGATGATAGCTTGGTGGTCGGAGAAGTGACTCGTGAAGCCCTCTTCATCTACAGTACATTGCTGGATGACTTCGTCTAGGGCTTCATTGACCCAAACTTGGTCAATTGATGTACCTAGGGTTGTTTTGGAGCCAACGCCAAATGTGGCAATGCCACAAGGTGATCTCAGGTGCATGTCCCACTCAGACATGAGATCTAGCAGCTTTTCCGCATCACCATCCTGTGTTTCGATGTGTGGCGGATTCCAAATTGCTGAATGTAGATTGCTGTCAGTGTTGACGATGGTTGGGAGTAATTGAATATCAAGTGGTAGGCTGTTCATGAGGGTTTTGTACGCCGAAAAGCCTGAGAAGACTGCAGGGTCATTATACACACTTATTGCAAGCAGTGTAAAGCCAGATGCGAAGGTTATAGTGCAGGCTGCAATGTCTCTCGAGGTCGACGGGAGGGGATTTATTTGTGCATTTAGGTCTTTTCTAATATACAGACATGCTCTAGGTCTTGCGCCTGTGTTTCTTTCTTTGGGCGTGGGGCTTATTAGAGTCCAGTTTAGGTGTTCTTGAGGCAGGTAGTCAACGTTATTCACAGTTGGCTCCTGGAGTGATAAGATTGAGAATGAATTAGTTAAGTCAGAATTAAAAAGGGAATTCGATGTGTCAGATGAATGGCGACAATTCAGTTGTAGAATTGCCTCTGTGTCAGGTAAGGTGAGTTTATGCCGTAGGTTTCCTAACATTGGATGTCAGAAGGTTCGGCTTCTCTGGTAACTACGAGCTTAGGTGAGGCGCTTGGGTTATGGGGGGGCAATCCCTCAGCAATCCTCGTTGCGCACTGCGGATGGAAAGGTGAGTGAAGGAGGTCTGGGTTGTTAGAGTCACAGAGGCTTTTGATTGATTTTGTTGGGTCCAGCTTTGATAGTGATCTCACACAAGCTGTACACTTCATTGGCGTGGAGCCTTTCTTAGGGCACGAGAAGGCATGGTGAGCTTCACCACAGTACGGGCACATGGCCTGGGAAGGGCAGGATGGAGCTGTATGTCCTGTCTTTTGACAATTGTAGCACCTCTTGGGCGGGTCTCTACCAGCTTTGGTTTTATGGAGGCCTCGACCAAACCAGACCTTTTCTTTCACGCACTTGTCGGCCTGAGCTTGCGAGTCAAGGCCTATAAGAAGGGTAGAGTATCTCTTAGAAGAGTCCTCTTTGAGCTTAGGGTTGAGCCATCGAATGAAGGCAACCTCATTCAGCAAATTGGGGTTAGAGGCAATTAGCTCCTCTTTATGGTTCGCGATCTCGGGGTCAAATGACGTTGGGATCGCATGAACCAGTACGGTGAAATGTTCTTGCTTCATCTGTAGCAAGCTTGATACAAATGGAAGCCAGTCTTTTTCGGTGGCACGAAGCCGCTCGGCAGTGCCTGCGTTCTCTAGGTGCAGGACAAGGTCATTTGACGGATGGCGCTGCACCGTTTTAACCGAGATGGTGGATTCTGTCGAATCGCTCATCTTGATTCCTTTTTCTCGAAAGGTCCTGTTGAAACCCTGGATAAGTTGGGTGATAGATTGCGTTCCCAGCGCAACTGTGTTTTTGTCCGTTTGGACCAGGGTGATTGTGTTTGTAAGGCGTTTCCTCGCCTTGGGCTTTGGAGCAGGTCGCTGACCTGCTCTTGCGCCTGATGCTTGGGCTTGGGTTTGGTTGCCGGTGTTCTTAGACGCCGCCGCTGCGTAGGAGCTGGTCGGGCCTGGTCCTGGCTGTTTACGATTGGCTTTGACTGGCATACAGTGCTCAGTCAAGATGGCCATTTGTTCGCTGAGAACGTCAAGCTTATCGGTGAGCGATGAAGCTTGGAAATCAAAAGCCGTGTTCAAGCTTGTTGGGGTGAGGTTCTTTAACGGCGCCGCCGCTCTGGTGGAGCCTGCAAGGGTCGACGCCGGTCTCTGGAAGAGGTTTCTCTTCGTTTTTTCAAATTGATGTTGATCAAATGCGGCATTGATCAAGACCAAGATGTCGGCACACGAGTCAACATCAATATGAACTTGTTTTGCTAGCCTGCCCTTCGCGGGTAGCTGCATCGTATGGTTGGCCACTGCTACCAGTTTAGCCAAAAGGGCTGTGAGGGAACGATCCTCCTCACAGCCTGGGATGAGTCAGGCCATCCTCTCGGATCGAGGTGTTCCGGTCACCGACTGGATGTGATCTTGAGCCGTGATACCAGGGGTGCACGCTCTCGCCCGTTTCCTCGCGAACTCGGCCAATAGTGGGATTTCTGAGCGCTTTGGAGTCGCTCCTAGGCTATCGGTGGTGATTTCGACTCGAGGTAGACCACCCTCCGAGCCCTTGAGGAAAGAGGCGATCGCGTCGTCGTTCTGGCTTGACGCGGTCGGATTCGTCCAGCCTGAGGTCGAATTGGAGCTGGGGTCGTCCTCGTTCATTTGACCCGTGTCGGACGCGTCCGGAGGCATTGCGCGCTCGATGATGAGAGAAAGAAGATGTTTGATGATGGTGAAAAAGTTAGGATAATGGCGTGGACGAGGCAAATTTCAGGTCACGTGACCTTAGAAAAAACCTGTACAAAGTCAGAACTGTGTCCTGTCAGAAGTTCATCAGCCGAACCCTGATCCTATAGTCTACCCGGATCACCCTTGATGTTTGAAGGAGATCTGGTTTGAAGGTACATACTTTAATTGTCATGAGTCTTCTTCTTGAGATCACTGCTTTGAATATTCAACTTGAAAAGGTATGCATTGTCTTTTAAGTATGCTTAATATTCATCTTTTGTTTGAAATACTGACAGACCACAAACTTCTTTTTCTAACACCTCATCAAAATATCCATTTCAGTTTAATCGAACCATTCACTACTACTGACAGAATTCTAATTCACACCTCAATTGATCACTTCTCCCGCAATTTCATTATATCAACTCTCATTGTATGCCCTCCGCTGCAGGTTCGGCAAGTCAATCAAAATCAAAACCTGTGCTTAAAACTCATCTTACATCTTTTTCAAAAATGGCATACCAAAATCAAGATCAAGCTTTAGATGATCGATTCGCATCAACGCCAGGAGTGACCAACACATCAAACCATCTTACTTACCAAGAAATGAAAGTGGAAAATCAAGATTACAAGGTTTAATGGGTAAACCAGGTGATCAAGGAAGTATTTTAAGTGAATTAGCTCTGTAAGTCAAAATGATTAATCTGCTACATCTAAAGCAGATTAAGAAAGGAGTTTTAGTCGAATCTCGTTGGACTGGTTTTAAATCTTGGATGGCAAATGAAAGTGGTCGTAAGATCTTGACTTCGACTCGGATCTTTGTTCATCTTTTAGTTCTCACTTTAGCTTGTAGGTCGTTCTCTCAAAATCTCTCAATTCACTTCGATTTTAACTTCCAATTCTCAATCCATTTTCGTCACAGTTCTTAACTTTTGATTGACGGATCACAAGCTTGTTTGACCTTTTCAATCACCTACCCTGTCGCCAGATCAGCTGCAGTAATATGCAGCTTTTGTCTTACTACCAGTTTGTAGAAATTTTGTCATCCTATCAAGAAGATCAGCTTTCAATCGCGCGATTTCATTTGAGATGAATATAACGTTTCACAAATTCATGGGGTTCGCTTTAGCTTTCTTTACTGCTATTCATATTGCTACTCATATGGCTAACTTTACTCAATTAACTATCAAAACTCACACTAGGGTAGTAGGCTTCATTGGTGCAAATTTTTCAACTGGTCCTGGTGCTACTGGTTGGATTATGACACGATTGCTCTGGCTATCATGGTTTGGTAAGCTAGAGAAGCTCTTAGAAGAGCTCGATGTGAACGCTTTTGGTATTCTCGACATCTTTTTATTGTCTTCCTTATTGATTGGAAATTATTTTGTTCGATCTTTTGCTTTTTGCTGAGTTCATCACATGGAACACATACCAATTGAATCAGTTATTTTGTGCAGAATGTTTTGTATCAAGTTCCGTTGTAAATTTTCTCCACTCGTCACAGTCCTGTAGAAACAAAGCTTGAAATGTGTAAGGACAATTCAAATATGTCTTTATCAATTCGAATGCTACAGCGGTTCATTTACATGTAGAAAGATAGACATGATTAAAGAGACCTTATGTTCGATCTTCATTCTAATTCTGAGACTGGTGGTAGAAAATTATTTTTATCCTCTGGCTTGTTTTGGTTCTTCTTAGCAATTTCGGAACATGCCAATTGAATCTTGATATCACTCAGGGGCTTTGAACACTGAGCATTCTGTCTCAAGTTTCCTGACCCCCCTGTGATCGCTGAGTATGTGAGATGATTGAGATTGATACATTTCGTAGAAGATAAATCATCATCATTATGTTGAGACGTGCAACTGCACATCCTTACCTAAGGCCATACTGAGATGCGCAGGCTGAAGTGCGTGTCATTGATTAGCTACGGATGGTAACCTTGCTGTGGAGACGACTGGCTCTCGATAGCTCTCGATATTCCTAGATCAGCATTGCAAGCAAGGGTCCAAGTTGATGTAGACTACCTCACGTCTGCGTGGCACGACCGTGGTGCACGATTGGACTAGTATAAGAACCGGCTGCTCAGCACCAGCATCGATTCCGCATCTTTCTCTCGTGGAACTCGGAGCCGTGGACTTACAGCTCATGAGCTTGTTCCTTATACAGGTGACGTTTGTACATATGGCGTACGTAAGGATCTGTTTAGAGAGCTGTTTTGATATCGTTTGACAATCAGAAAGAAATCGAGTTGAAGTGGACAGAAAAAAGCGGAGGGCAAGGCTTCATATTTACGTCAATGTCCTGAGGTTTCAAGAGATCGAGCTTACGTAAAGTCGTTGTGTATCAAGACCGTATGTCAATTCACATAAGAGATCACGCAGAGCAAAAATTGGATGATTGCAGTTCCAACCTTTGATGTGACCTGCCAACATTGACGCTTTGTTTTGCATCACGTAAGGAAGGCTATATCCGAATATGCTGACGTGAAGCGTGTCGAAATGAAAGGGAATCCAAACGTGTTCTGACATCATAACATCATGAAATAGACGGGCAAGGATCAGAATATCACGCGTTGTATCTTTTGAGTGTCCGATGTGGCCTGTTCAGGCAGAACTTCAGAAGTCTATGGACACGTAGCTGTTGTGGCAAATGTAAAAAGGGTGCCTCAAAGACTATTTAAACGGGTGTTGATGAGTGGCAAACTTGTTGTACCCTCATCCTCAACGGCTCTTGGTGATTCTTTAATTTTCATCTTTTTGTCGACAACCATCCTAAGAAGTTGGAGCCTTTCTGCCTCTTCGTGAAAACTAGACACTCCCCTCATACCAAACGTGTTCGTGATCCATCTTAGTTGATCATTCGTCTCAATCTTGAAATGTCCCACCTTATTTCTTTCTTTGAACCTCTGCCACTCAACAAAATACTAATCACATCCTGTTTTCCTTGGATATACAGCCCAGCATATAGTTTCCTAGGTTTTGTGTGAGTCGCATTTAAAACTTCCTGGTTTTCTTCCCAGTCAAGGTTGCAAACAAGCCAAACTGACTTGAGTAAATTGCCACAGAAAGAACATCCTCACTCAAAAACCGAATAGGTTGAACATAGGATAAACCTTAGACTTGCTCCGTAAGCTTATAAAATTCCTCTCATTTGTGGTTTGATAGAATTTCACCTTATCACATCAAATATAGTGAGCTAATGAGTGATTATTAGTCTGTTTTGTGAAATGATGCTTTTGAACAGTGTTTCTGTTTTCAGAAGCCTCAGTATCATCTTTGCTCTTTCAACTTTGGCAGTTGCAGAATTTCAATGGGTAACGGAGTCCGGCATCAATGTTTTCGACATTTACAACCACAACTGCGAGTTTTGTGGACACGGACTACAGTTCCCAACAATAAATACCAAGAGAAAATGCACGTTTGATATCGTTTGCAACTGCGCTGCCCATATGAAAACCTGTGGTGATACCTTCACACCGGATAAACCGTTCTGCGCCAATCCAGAATGTGTGTCGTCATCAATGGCTCAATGTCACAAATGGCATCCAATAACTTGTGAAGAGGCGGGCCATCGTCGGCCAGATTACCTAGGACCGCCACCATCACCTGACCCAGATGAACAAATGCAACCATATACTGGTTGGGCAGATCCACAACCAGCCCAAGAAAATCGAATGATGGGATATGCTCGTCGGCAAGCAGCAACCCAAGGAAATTCAATTGCAAAAGTTGGAAGAAAGATCCTTAGCTTTTTTAATGCTCAAAATTAAATTGTGATTTTCTTCCCCCAAAGTTTCAATTCTAAACTCATCAATCTTATTATCTTTTATGTTCTTGGTTTCTTTGTGTCAAATATCAGGGTATCAGGCAAGAGAGAATGACTACTTAGCCTTATAGAAAAAAAACAAATCCCTGGTGGACCCAGTTCTAGGGGATTTCATACATGCTCTAGTCTGCTCTATTTCACCGGCTTGTAAGATGTTACACAGCATTTCATGTATGTGACAGGAGGACAGGATTACTCAGTAGATTGGAAGCACCAATTGTTATTGTTTCCTCCTCATCTATTCTCTTTTGTTGTTGTTATCATTCGTCTTTTATTGTAACAGGTTGATCTCGATCTGATGCTTTCATAAGCTAGGCCTAGCCTTTTACGCAATTTATAGATTGGTTATAGATACTTCTGCTGTAGCCATTGTACCTCTCAGTGCTGTTCCCTATAGGAACTTCCACTTTTCTTGGAGCATTCAAGGATTGTTGGGATTGGGCAAAAGTGGGCAGAAACAACCCTGGGCCAGCAATTGAAGTTTAGACATATGTTTGGGTTATCTGATTCTTAAGATTGATTCTTTTCATCATTACTCATCTTACATTCTCTTTACCATATTGTTAGTGATCATATGATGGTAATGATGTCATCTGCTGTGAATGCTTGACAACTGCTGTGACCGCATCTAAGTGTAGTTTTCGTATAAATAGAACGAGGATATCCACTACTTGTATCTCCTTTTCTTTACCGATTTCTACTCTTCTCTTCGAGCAGGTTTGCTTCTACCTTGCTCTCATCGGTCATTAAGACTATTGTCTTTCTAGTTAACTAACTAGATCATTCCTCAGGTTATTATCCACTTATCTTGTTGTTCTGTGTCTTTATGCTGTTAATCAAATCTTTACCGATTTCTACTCTTCTCTTCGAGCAGGTTTGCTTCTACCTTGCTCTCATCGGTCATTAAGACTATTGTCTTTCTAGTTAACTAAATAGATCATTCCTCAGGTTTGCTTCTACCTTGCTCTCATTGGTCATTAAGACTATTGTCTTTCTAGTTAACTAACTAGATCATTCCTCAGCCTTATAACCTTCATTTGATTCCAGCAACACAACATGTCACAGCGGGCACTTTTTTTGTTGTGTTGCTCTGCAACACGCAGCAAAATTCCGCAACTTGGTCTGCGTTGCGCCGAAAACCGCAACACCGAATATATAGAAGGTGTTGTGCCCGGCATTGTCCGCAACACAGCTTAAAAAAAGAAACACAAATCATTTTTTTATTTCACGCTATAACACTTGTATTCTAGTCAATTAAATGAACCACCACTCTTGTATAATTTTGTAACTAAAATAACTTCATATTAAATTCAATCAAGTACCACGCCAAAGGCTTTGAATATAGAAGTGAGATCAGCAAAGTCTGAACCCAGCATTACCCTCTCTCTTAACCATAACCAACTGGATACTAGGGCCTTGATGGTTTGGGCGAGAAGACTGCCATGATTTCTGGCACAAACGTCAGCCGCACACAAAAAAATCTCTCTCGATGGGCAATGGGGATCCGGCGGTGGCTAAGTAATCCCGCACCATGATGGCCAGAACTTGACAAACTCTTTTGTGTTTCTAAAATAAGAAAAATTAGCCATCATGATGAAATGAGGTATGATAATGAGAAAAAACAACTTACAGAGCACCACTCAAGAGCTCCCTTAGGATCAGATAAATTGTAGTCTCTTTGGTGCATCTTGTCAGACATTAGTATGTAGTTATCCAGAGATTTATCAATTGTATCAGCTGCATCTTCCTCATCTTTGGAGTTGTCCTTAAACATTCTTGATTTCACATGAGACGGATTAGAACTTGAGGCATGGTTGTCATCTTGAGTGGAACTTGAAGTTTCTTGACAAGGTGAACTCAAATCATATTCAGAATAAATTTGCTGGATAGTAGATTCTGCTTTGAGTGGAATACCTCCAGACTTTCCACCAAACCACTTCTGGAAGAACTTGAGGCAAAATAAGGAATGAAGTAAAGTTGCCATTACCAATGTCTCACACCCAAGGGCTTTGTCAAGATCTTCTTGAGTCTTCTGCAGCATCTTTGCTAGCAATGGATAAACAGCATCAGTAGTAGTCAACTTCTCAAAATAAAAAATGAGATGAAACGAAAAGAAGTAGAAGTTCAAAAAGGGAAATAAAGAAAGGAGATGAAACGAAAAGAAGTAGAAGTTCAAAAACTGACCTTCTTAATTGCCCCCGTCTCAAGAAACGATGTGATCGCACCTTGTTGAGGTTTGGCGGTAGCAGTGATCTGGTGATAACGCTCGAGATGACGAGATAACGATTTCGTGCTCTGAGTTGGATGAGGCGTCATCGCAGCTCCACAGATGCGATTACTACCTGGAGGTTTCGCAGCCTGGCAGACGTACTTAGCAACACCTTGCTGAGTTTTGGTCTTGAAGTATTTCCAGACCCATGACTTCTGGTTTTTGGTGAGTTTCACTGCGTTTGATGTGCTTGGAGTTTTCGAAACAGGAGAATCAGAATGCCCTTCGGAGTCCGAAACGACGATGGTGGAAGTAGGGCAAGGAGAGCTGCAACGGTGTTTTTGCGGCATTGCTGAGACTGTAGATCCTTGATCATCTACGTTCAATTGAATGTACTGTGATGTTGAATTGAATGAGGGAAAAAAAAATTCTTTCTTTTCCCCCATTCTTGCCTATTTATGGCTACCGGACCGGGTCGGCCCGGCCTGGAAGGGGGGTGGCCCCGGTCCAGCTCAGAATCTCCGGGTTGGGTCCGGGTTGGTGCATTAAAATGAACAAGTAGTAGTGCTCCTTTAATCTACCTAATTCAAATTTGGTGAAGGTTGTCTTTCTCAGATTGATTGCAGTGATTCCCACTAATCTCTTGTCCAAAACCTGTCAAGGATGCGCTTCAGAAAAAATGTTTCCTTTGCTAGTTTGATTGTATTCACAAAACATACCTGATTATATCCCAGGGCATCTAATGGATTTAAAACTAAAACCACAGGCTTCTTGACCTTTGGAAACACATGAAAGAACATCTTGGGGACGCAACTCTTTCCAGAACCCATAGCCGCTGAAAGAAAAGTATGTCAGTCATTTCTGAATTTTAAAAGAGCTTGTTTTGAGCTCTTATAAAACTTTTGATTTTGATTGCAAGTGTTCATTTCTAGAGGCAGCTTACAATGTTTCAGAAGCAGGCCTGTAACATAGTCAAAGGATATGAAAAGTTATAATTGGGGGAAAAAAGTTATAAGGAGAACAAGTTTTATGGCCAAAAGCCGTTGAACCCCTCACCCAGAAACACAAGATACCATGTAAGTCCCCTTTGGGCCTACCCGCTTTCTTTCTTGTTTTTGGTAGGCCTCAAAGGGGGCTTAGTTAAATTAGGGGACTACCTATGTAGAGAGGATCTTAGACTTATTTAATTGAATATACAGTTGTTTTCAAAAAGCTTGCCCAAATTTGCCTGCAAACCTCGAGCAATTTGGTGGTGAATCTGTGGCAAGCTTTTTGCAAACAACTGTATTTTTCAATGATAGGTGTTACCCAAAGGCACGACAGTACCACTGCTTTCCATGACAGACTTGATCAGATACAGAGGCGGGGCTCTCTTGGGAAAATGGTATGCTTATATCAAAGCCACCCTTTTTCATTGTACACAGACCTTGTAGAAAATGTTGGATTGGAAAACTTGTTTCCAAATTTTTTTCCTCCCAACTTCTTTGTGCGTTCCTTCCCCTTGCCTCTAGACTATCTCACGTGGTCAGCCAGGAAGCTGCTATCATCCCTTTTTCTCTCTCACTTTCCTCTTTTTATTTTTTGCACCCACCCTCCACCCTATGAGTGAAAGTGGTCCAGAAGTGATGTTGGCCAACACTGCAAGTTGGCCTCTTGGTGGAATGTTAAGAAGGTACCTTCCCACCCAAATGTTAGAGGTTTGTCCCCTCTGTCATGTCCTGCTTTAATTTGTTTTCTATATCATTTGTTCTTAGCAAGTACTCTTTGTTTCCTACTTGTATTGAGTGTTGTATGTATGTTGTAGATGGGGTGCCTAGCCCACCGTTCAGAGCTCCCCCATCTATGGTGCAGGTAGTCCTACCCCCCTCAGCTCACTTCTGAGCAGAAGGCCCCCCCCAAGAAACCTCTGCTTCCCTCTTTTGGGTCGTTTGGGGTTTGCCTAGGATAGCTAGTCACAGTGTAGATTGGAGAGTCTACGACACTTGCAATAAAATACTCATGTTAGATACGCACAAAATACTCATGTTAGATACGCACATTTAGATATTGAAAAAGTTGAGAATGGATATCCACTTGAGTGTGCACATACAGACATACTATTTGGAATTGAATTCAAAGATAACAGTGAATAACAAACATATCTTAAAGGCTCAGTATTTTGGAAAATTTGGCTTCAAGTAGACAACAAACATTAAGAAACCTAATTTTGGCACGTAGAACCTTACAAACCACAAATCCTTTTTTTTTTGATAGATCACATACCTTATTCTCACTTGATGAGATCCTGCTGAGTAACAAAGAAGAGATATTGTATATCAATTGCAGGAATACATCAATCTCTACACAATAAATTAAGGTGTCTCAATTCAGTAGGCTGAGTCTGTAGTTGCACCATTTCACTTGTAAAAATTGTCTGCACTGGAACATAGGCAGCATCATGTAAAGAATTGTGTGATTGACTATAGGTGATTCTCTGGGAATTTGATGAGTCTGGCCTCAGCCTGGTGAAGATATTATGAAGGTGGACTTGCTCAGTGTGTAGACACAAGATACATAATAATTTTGGGCAAAAAAAACGGATGGGTTGGGCTCCAAGGTCATACATAAGAAACAAGCCAAAAAAACATGAAGAAAATTGAGCCAAAATTGTTGGCTCCAAGTTTAACAGCAAAATTGTGTCAACATCTGAGTGGGATTGATCACCACATCATGGTTAAGAAAAAGGTGCCTGTGGTGAACTTGAACTGTGATATGGATTGATTTGATGTGACTTTCACTATGTATGTAGTGAGTGTGACATCAATCCAGCAGACCTATCACAAGAAGGACTCTACATATAGGGTATACAAAGTTGGTTCTGGAATTTTCCCAAAGGATTTTTCCAGAACGCCAGAAGTTTTTTTTTTGGTGAGTTCTGGCGTTCTGGCATTTGGCAACTTTGAATGCACCATTCTTCCAGAACACCAGAAACCCTTCACACTTAAATCAACCAGCACGCCCCTCATCCCCACTCACATCATCACCAAATCACATCACCACACTCATCTTGAATCGACTCGACCACTCCTCCTGCAATGCCTCGAACAAGCCGTCGTCGACTTTTGAAACGGTCCATCCATCAGGCAATTAACGAGAAGAATCATGCTGCACACACGAACTTTTACACTTTGGCTTTTGTGAAAAAAAGAAATCATGAAAGTTTATTCATGCTTCGGTGTCTGCAAGCAATCATCACACATCAAAACCAACAATCAGATGCTCTAGCAGACAATGAAGATGATACTGATGAGGAATCTGAGGCTAAGAAACCCTTGTTGCTTTTGTTGCTTGGAGCGCTGGAATATCACTTGGCCAGTGCACAGTCTGTGAAGCTGGTACTACTTGGACGTTGTCTACGTCGAATAGGTCAAAATGAAGTCAATCGTCTTGAAGAGGCTTTAAAAATTTTGAATTCAACCCGTTACGTTCACGATCGGCCATCACGAGAACGAAAAGATTTAAGAAACATATCGTTCCCGCACAGAATTTGGGAAGGTGGTGATTCATTCATAGCTATAGTATGTAGTTTCTTTCTTTCTGCTAATGTTCTTTTTTCCTGAATCAGGCTCGAAAGAGTGAGGAACAAGAGTTTGTTTCTTTTTGCTAATGTTTGCTATTGTACTTTCTGAATCAGGCTCGAATGAGCGAGGAACGCTTTTGGCAATTGGTCGAGTTGATTCAGTCTAGTGAAGTATTTCAAAGTCAATCAAATAACAAACAAGTACCGGTACCATGGCAGCTTTTGGTTGCTCTAGCAAATCTTGGATCCTCGGGAAACGGAGGCGATCATTCACATCTAGCATACATGTTTCACATCTCAGGCAAGTAGGCTTCCTTGTTTGGTTCAACTTGGATCTGTTCACTGATCCAATCACTTTCTTTAGAAGGAAGTGTCCAAAATTGGACTCATCGATGTATATATGCAATCCTCGAAATCGAAAAAGACTGGGTGTTTTGGCCAAATGAAGATGAGCGAGAAACACTCAAAGCCGAAATAAAATCCAGCGTCTTCAAAGATACAGTCGGCTTCATGGATGGAACTCTCATACCACTTGCCTACGCACCGGTGAGCAATCCAGAGGACTACTGGACACGTAAAAATTTCTATGCTTTCAATGTGATGTTAGTGTGTGACATACACAAAACAATAAGATTCTACGAGCTTGGTTGGTGTGGCTCTGCTCACGATCAAAGAGTTTTTTGCTCCTCTGTAGTAAGTCTTTATGGTTGTGAGCTTGATGCAGTCCAGTCTGACTAACTTCCTCAAAGCTCTTCACCAATCCTGAAGAGTTCCTGCAAGAGGATGAATATCTCTTAGCAGATTCGGGCTATAATTTGTCTCCACATGTTATTACACCTTTCAAACGCGCCCAGGGTCGCCGATTGGCAAATAACGAAAACGCTTTCAACAAAGAGTTAAGCAAGTGGCGGGTGATCATTGAACAGAGCATAGGCATGCTCAAAGAAAGGTTCCAGTCTTTAAAAGAGATCAGGATCTTATTACGTGGGGTATCAAGTGCAAAACGGGTGAATGCTTGGATTCGTGTGTGTATCATCTTACTACGGAAGCCGAGACAGGAGGTCCCACCACTCGATTTTGATTTTCAATTTTCAATTTTCAGTTTTCAATTTCGAATCTCAAAACTCGATTTTTGAGAGGCCTTCCCCTGCGTCAATCATGATTAAGCCTATCCAATCAGGCTATTGTGAAAAGTGTCTTTCACAAGTTAATAAATACTGGAATAATCAAATTTCATCTGTTGTTTTGTTTTGTTTTGATGTTGACTGTCAATCTCTGTCAATATAAGGTGTTATATAAAGTCTTATGATGTCTTTTTCCTTCTATCGTGTCAATTTGCTACTCTTTAGGACAGATTACTTTCATTCTTTATGTAAAAAATTATTAACTTACAAGCACTCTGATGTTTCCTACGAGTAGTTGTTTCCTCATCATTTTTCATCTATATGCTTACAAGATTATTAGTGTGTTTAATTTCTCTAATCCTTACTTTTTATTATACTAAAATCTTCATTCGGATCTATTGCATCAAGCTTTGTGTTTTCAGTGATGGAGAACCAATGCCCTGACTGTGGGAATTGCTTCCCACAGATGAAAAATCCTACCTGTGATCGATGCAAGTGGATGGTAGAAAATCCCGACAAGGGCGACTGCCCCAAACGACAATGCTTAGGCTGCGGGAGATGCTATTGATTCCTTACCGGCACTCAATGTCAACTTTGCAAAGAAGTCACGGATCATCCTTTGGATCCAGCTCCAGCTTTAACCTATTCTAGTGCTGCCACCCTTCCTGCACATCTATTTGAGGGAGGGATACCCAACGCTTCTCAGCTCACCGCTCCTCATCGATCTCAGCTTGTTCCTGCTGTTTCAAGTGGCCAATTGCAAGGATCCATTTGAGCACAACAATCTGTAAGGAGAACTATTGGCAAGCCAAAGGTCAGGAAAGCAGTTATCAATACTGACACGGAAGATCAGGATTCGGAAGTCGAGATAATGATGTCATTTTGGTATATAAGTGGCCTTTCCAAATCGAATCCTGTCCATGGTCTCACACCTAAACTCTTCAAAGTCGACATGAATTTCCCTTTAGATTGGTTCGATAATCTTGCTTATGAGGTCTACACATACTATCAACAAGAAGCCTCACTTTCTGCATTTCCGAACAAGGCTCAGATCGTATCAGGAATACTTCCTCTTCCAAATGATTTCTCTGCGAACTACTGTATCATGGCAGAAAACAATGTTGCAATCTCCAAAGAGACAATTGAAGCAAAGCTCATCCAGTATCAGAAGAAAAAGAGACTTGACAAGTCTAAGTTCGGGTTAATTTTCAATATGAAAAGATATGATGCATCTCGACCTAAGCTATCTTCTTCACCTGAAGCTCCCTCTTGCAAGAAGCGCAAGCGCAAGAAATCAAAGTACTCATCTTCATCTGATGACTCTGACAAAGAGGATGATGAATCTCTTCAAGGTTTTGACAAAGACGACTCACTTGAACAATTTCAAGGTTTTGACAAAGACGACTCACTTGAACAATTACCAGCACTTATTGAAGCTCAATTCCAGTCCAACCAGGAGATTATCGACTGTAACAACCAAGAAGATCTGGACAAAGACAATGATGTCCCTCTCGCCAACCAAAACTTTCTTGAGTTGGACAACCAAAAACACCACGAAGAAGAAGTAGATCAGTTAGATGTTCAGTTAAATGACAAACTCGACGGCTCAACAAAAGCTCACGAAGATGATAATAATAAGAGTGGTTTACTTGGGGATGATTCATCCCACCACCCACTTAACATCCATGAGGTTTCAGCTGGTCAATTATCAATCGATGAATGTGAGTTATATTTCTTCTTTATGAAGACTTTTGATTAAAAGCTCATGAACCATTGCTTTGAAGCAATGTCTTTGAAAAGCTTTGGAGATACGCGAGTCCTTGCTACAACCGACAAGAGAATCCTTCCATATCCTGTTCGACCGATTTCGAATTGGACCAAAGGATGGATCCTTTCATTAATCACTAAAGATAAAGAGCCCTTATTTAAGCCTATACCGGTATCATACCGAGTTGATAGATCCTCATGTATTGGATCAGGCCTACACATGGACTGCTACCGAGCCGAATTGCTACTAGATGATAAGGTGCATCATGTGGTAGCAAAACAAACTTCAATTCCCACCTCCTTATCATACTATCAGTGCCAAGCACAGGCTTATGTGCACGCTGAGGCCGCAATCGAGCGATTCAAAACGAAGGTTTTAGGTATCAACAAGTTCAGCCACGTCAAAAAGGAACTTGTTCAGAGCTTACGAGTATGTCACATAATGCTTTGTCCTTTCAGATGTAGTGTATGATTGAAGCTGATCTTACATCATTACATTCATCCAAGATGGTGAAGCGATGGGTGGTCCAACCTGTGGGAACCAAAGGTACTCACCTGATGGACAATGTTGATTGTTCGAATTTCTGGCTCTTCGAAGAAGAGCTTGTTGGGTCTTTTGAAAAATACGTCAGCAATCAAGACTTCAATATGTGAAAAGGTAAAAGTTGGGATCAATTACATATGATGCTTCACGCGCTTATTCATAACGACTTGCATGAGAATGAAGGAAGATCCTTCATCTGTGACTTGCAAGGAGTTGGTACTACGCTCACTGACCCTGTATTTAACGATCTTGAGTGAGTTCTCTTTCATGTTATGAGCTATCTTGCTTTCTTCCTGACAAAACTCTCTATCACAGCAAAAACTTTGGAAGTGGGAATCTCAATTACGAAGGCCTCAAGTTGTTAATATCTCAACATAAAGAAAACATGTGGTGTAAAAAGATGGGACTAGGTCTGATCAGTGAATGGAAACACAACCTCAATGTGTAATACTTGAATAGCAACTCGCACTCTGCTCTTGTATCCTATACACTATACATAATAAGCAATAAAATCAAACTACATCATCAGAGTCTGATACATCTAAGTCCCATTCAATATCAATGACTCTTAAAAGTTGTAAAACACGATTAAAAACCACCCATACATTGTTAATATTGATCATATCTTCTTGAACACCTAATCGTTCGATCAAAGTGGATACCTCATGTGAAAACTGAGGTGACATAACACATAGAAGATCTTCATGATCTGGATATTGATCCGAAATTAAATCATCAATAGTCTTGCTTGGTACCGTAGTAAGTCCTTGAGTACCATTGTAGTTTTCAGGTGAGTAGAAACAAGTATCGGGCGCGACTGAAGTTGGAAGGTGTGAGAGTTTGTTTTTACGGGTTCGATACGAGTTCTTTCGGTCCATGAAGGAATCCATGACTCGCTGAACCAAAGGTATCCAAAGATGCAAAAATAAAGCCCTGTTGACCCAATTCCTTTAGCACGTAACAAACAAACAAAGTTATATCAAGAGCTTACCTCTCGAGCGGGTCCTTTGGATGATACACACCACTATCAATTGCCAGCTTGATGTCATCTCGTAAGACAGTATTCTTTGCTCGCATAAGCTGTGACCAAAGTGACTCGATTTTTTGATTGTGGGTTGATGTTGTGTAGTGATGAGACTTTATAGCATCTTCAACAGACTCGCCACCATATACATGCATTATAAGAGCTTGAAATGTTGCCATGTCACCTGTCTCGGTCCCATGATCGGTCGATGTCATAGCTGGAAAGCCTCCTAGTTTAGACACAAGTTCCAAAAAATAAAGACCAATAACTCTAGGATTGTTGTTTGTTCGCCCTACTCGAAGACTGAGAACTTTTCTTGACCATGTATCGATAAATCCATATATACAAATACCATAGGGTTTGAGCTTATCATGTCCATCACTAGCCCATAGATGATTTGGGCCTGGGACGTGGAATATTCGACGCTTGAGACAGCCATGACGCCGGAGTTCAACACCTTCAGGGTCAATTGTACACATGAGGTTGTAGATCGTATCACGATTGATCCGTACATGGTGATTCACAGCAAGGTTTTGCTGCATAGTGCAATATCCAGCATTTCGATCTTCACCCTCTATCGCTTCTAGCAATAAATTTACCAGCTCATCCACTGTCACGCGACCTTGTTGTATATCATCACGGCGCCAATTGAGCTCCATCTCATTTGACATTGTTCGTATATTATACATATTGATTGGTATAACATAGGTATCGTTAATTGCACACTTCGCTTCCAATTTCGTCCTTCCGAGAGTATAGTATTGGAGTATCAAGGGATAAGCTTGTTCTTTTTGTTCGGCAGTCAATGGTATAGACGGATTCGTAAGCTCGAAGTACTGGAGAACACACTGCAAGGTTCGCAAAGGAGCGTGAATGTGGTGTTCGTTAAGAAGACTATCTATCATTGTAGCCTGTGATAGATGCTCTTCGCAGTACCCGGTAAGGATGGGCTCAAGTACCTCATCACAAACATCATTGATGTGCATCATGATTTGATGGCTTTTTGAGAGAACAGGTGATTCCGAGTGAGTGGTGAGTTTAGATTCAGGAGCTTGAGTGTAGAGAGATTGGCAGTGCGATCATAGGTAGAGTTCAAAAACGAATATGAAGACGAATAAGGTTGTTGATGTGACGGAAATATCAAAAATCAAGTTTTGAGAGTCAAAATTCAAAACTGAAAATTGAAATTTGAAAATTGAAAACAGGTGGCGGGGCCTCCTGTCTCGGCTTCCGTATCTTACACAACTTCTCAAAGGTAAATGGAGAAGAGTGGCATGCCGAGTTTGGAGCCAATCAAGAAGCCTCATATCGGACGATTGGACGTGCAACACCTCCTCAAAACCAGTCCTCAGGAGATGTATATAATTTTAGGCAAGATACGACCAGGCGAGATGCTCTGTTTGCCGAGTTTATTGCAAATCGCAGTGGTTGATTTGGACTGTTATGTTTAAGAGCTATTTATTAAATACTTTACGTTGTTTTCACTTGTTTTCAATCAGGCTATCTTGTTTAAGAGGTTTTAAAGATACTACGTTGTTTTCACTCTTTTTGAAATTTGTTAATTTTTTTTGGAACTTTCTGCACTCAAATGATTATAAACAAAAGAATTTGTTTTTGAGAACAATATCTGCATTTCAAAAGGCACTTCAAGTTTAAAAGCTTTTTTGAGATTTGTGAGTTAGGTGAAATTAAAAAAAAAAAAAACGATTCAAGTGAATTGAAAAGAAAAAGAATCAAAAACAAATCGGTCGAACCAAAAAAAAAACTAACAACAACCAGCTTGTTTCCTAAGAGATTATGAAACTAAGACAGAGTGATTTGAAATGAAAACCACTCAAAAAGAAGATTAATTAAATAAACCATCCGATCGATTAATTAAAAAAAACATCCGATTAAGAGAGCCAATCATTAGAGTCAATGATTGGATCATTTTTGAGACCTGAATACAAACCAAAAGAATCAGTTAAGATATCATATATATATATATGATAATAAAGATAATAAAGAAGTACGTACGTTTGTTCCGCACTCTTGTATAAATTGTCAGCAATCACTTTTGCTTGTTCGTAAGGAATGTTGTTCTCCTTCATAAGCTGACTGATGAATTGTCCTTTCGCAATTGCCAATTCCAATTCCATAGACCTTTTTGCTTTTTGAACATCTAATTGTGCCGCCTCAAGCTGACATTTCTTGAGCTTGGCAGCAACCTGTGCTTGTTCTACCTGCTCATCTTCGGTCAACAAGCTGTTCGTTTTGTTTTTTGGTAGCAAGGCACCTGTTAAGTCCTTCATCATATCCTTCATCGCATTGTTATCCAGTTCGCTTTTGATTAAAACATCTTCAAGTCGTGTGATTGCAGAATTGGTCTTGGTGTCTGGCTGACTTAGCAATTTGCTTACTTGGGTCAACGCCACCGCGCTCCGCTCCGCTGCGCTATAAATCAGTTTTTTTACAGCGGAGCGATCTGGCGCTATGAAATAGTGCGAGATCGCTCCGCTTTATTTTCAGCGTCGCTATGACTTTGTAAAGCGGGGCGGCTGATTTCTTCGCTCCGCTCCGCTCAGCTCAAATTTTGTCTCCGGTAGCGCTCCAAAGCGCAATCAAGGGTTTTTTTTGGCCAGTGCAATTACATTATCATTGTTGGCAGAGTGAGGATGTTGAATGAAAGACTAATTAAAAAAACAACGCACAAGTCTCTCTAAAAGAATCGATCGATGATCAAAAACAAAAAAAGCAAAAAAAGAAAATAGAAAAAAAAATCAAACACACACAAGTCTCTTCAAGAGATGATTGATGATCATAAGCAATAGTAGAAGTGTAAAGAAAAGAAAAGAGAGAATGACCGCACACAAGCCTCATAAAGAGAGAAAGATAAAGGAAAAGCACCAAAAGTCGCACAAGTCTCATAAAGAGATGATAAAAAGAAAACTAACGCACATTTTTTTTTGTTCTTTTGTTGAGCCACTTCCAATTACATAGTTTAATGAACTAGTTGTCAGAGTGAGATTATAGTAGGGAAAAGGAGATAGAAATCAAAATCGAATTAAAAAATCTACTTTTTCTTTTTAGCCTTGGTGCTGGAAGCTTCATAAGCTTGGACAAAGGCTATAGCCTCTACGAACTTTCCTGACAGAGTAATCTTGGCCTTCAACCACTCACGGACGCCAACAAGCTTCTGAATCATCTTGGCTGTTAAGGATGCACACCCAGGAACTGCAATATCTGCTGCAGATGAAAACGTTCGTTCGCATGGGGCGGATGTACCCGATAACCCTAGATAATCACGAGCCATCGAGGCAAGGACAGGGAAGTCCTTCTCGTGCTCCTGCAAGTAGCCAAGCCAAACAAGTCAGATGACAAGCTTGAAGAAGAAAGAGAGATGATAGAACTTACACTCCACCAATCCAGCTCGCTTTGACCAGGTAGCATCAAATGTGCACCCTCGATATAATCCACACGCTCGTCTCGGCGTTTATCGGCTGGTGACTGAGTAGTGACTTGGGTTGTAAAAACATCAAAATCATCAAAGTTGGAGATAGGTGTGACTGAAGAGGGGGCAGGAGGGGTTGAAATAATTTCTGAGCTTGAATCTTCGGGCCAGTTACGAAGAGCGTCTTCAAATGCTCGTGTGAAGAGATCTTTGGCTCTCTGAGCCTCTTCAGGGTAATTGAGATCGAAAAACTTGGTACGGAAACGGGGATTGAGGATGGTAGATAAGACAACGGCATCAGAGGCCACTGCCTCTTCCTGATAAAGTTCCAGTTTGGTTCGGATGACATTGAACATGCGCTTGAGGTCGTCATCGTCACAGGCAGCCTCGAGCCGATCGACCTCAAGAATTATGCGCAAGTACTCGGCTAGAAGGACACAGCCGGTTGGAGTGTCGCCCTCCATCCGTTTAGTAGCATACACAAACACCTGTGGAGAGTACAAAGTTAACAAATGAAATGATGAAGAAAAATATTGAAAAGACAAAGAACCGACCTGAAGAATTTTGACTAAGGACTCGATTGACTCCCATTCATCATCTCTGATATGAATTCCTTGATAGTAGCGAGTTTTCCGATCGCTGAGAAGGATTGCATCTACAACCTGCAGACCGAGAGGCAATCGTATCAGCACAAGAGGAATAAAGAGAGATGTGAAATTAGTAACACTTACATCTCTGGCATCGCTCAAGCGTTTGAGGTAGTTAGCGTCGATGTTCCAACGCACTCCCCAGCCGGAAATAGGAGAGGGTCCCTTGTAATCTAATTGCTCGGCCTTTGATATGAACTCTTGACGCCTGGCGGAGCTCCTGGTGCATAGAGCGTTGAACTTTTTGGCCTAGGAATAAAACAGATTAGTTAATCGATTAACATGGGCTGTGTAGTGTAGGAAAACAAAGCCTTACTTTTCGAACAGCCCGAGCCACCGTACATGTA